GCAGAAAGAAAAAGAATACTACTATGATGACCAATGTGGAGAAACAACAGATTAAAAAAAGGGAAGAACAAGAGATCTATTTCACAAGATCTGAGAAATCAAAGGAAAATTCAAACCAAGGACTGGGATGATCTATGACAATAAAAATGACATTATTCAAGACCAGGAAGGAATAAAAAGTCATTGGATGCAATACACAGAAGAATTATACAAAAGAGTTGACAAAATGAAGGACACATGCAGTGAAGAGTGATATGAAGATGGAGCTCAAATCCTAAAAAGTGAGGTGGAAACTGCAATAAGAGAAATAGAAATAATAAATCACCAGGACCAAATGATATTCCAATTGAACTGCTGCAATCCACATTGACAGAGTCAGCTCTAGTGCTAACCAACAGATGTCAACAGATATGGAAACAAAACGATGGGCAACAGATTGGAAGTGATCGATATACATCACCATCCACAAAAAGGGAAACACAAGAGACTGCAGCAACTATAGGACCATAGCACAGATCTCCCATGTAAGCAAAATCATGCTCAAAATTCTGCAACATAGACTCCAACCATACAAGGCTACATCCTTTCACCCTGTTGGTTCAATTATAAGAAAAACAGGCTTGGACACAGAAGAAGGAGTGAAAATAGGAGGAAGGAATATCAACAATCCATAATACTAGCAGAAAACCTCCTAAGGAAAATCAAAGTAGAAAGTGCAAAGGCAGGCTTAATGTTGAACATAAAGAAAACAAAAATAATCACCACCAAGTACTTCACAAGTTCAACCTAGACAATGAAGAAATAGAAATAGTAAAAGAATTCTCATACCTGGGATCAAACATTGATAGAAATAGGGACTGCAGTCAAGAAATCAGAAGAAGACTAAGAAAGGGGAGGATGGCTATGAAAGAACTAGAAAAGATTCCAAAATGCAAAGATATACAACTCAGCACAAAAGTTAGAATCATACAAGCCATTGTATTCCCTCTTACCATGTATGGATGTGAGAGCTGGACAGTTAAGAAAGTTGATAGGAAGAAAATCAATGCATTTGAGATGTGGTGATGGAGAAGAATGCTGAGGATCCCATGGACAGCCAAAATGACAAACAAGTGGGCCCTAGAGCAGATCAAACCGGAAACCTCCCTAGAAACCAAGATGACCAAACTGAAACTGTCGTACTTCAGACATATCATGAGAAGTTGGGGGTCTTTGGAAAAACCCAATAATGTTGGGGAAGGTGGAAAGAAGTAGAAGAGAGGAAGGCCACATGCTGGATGGATGGACTCTATTAAGGAGGTCACAGTATGGGGTTGAAGGATTTAAGCAGAGCAGTGGAGGACAGAGGGTCTTGGAGATGTTTCATCCATAGGGTCACCATGAGTCGAGATTGACTTGAGGGCAGTTAACAACAACAAAGATATATTAAAATCAACCTCTTCCAATATGAAATATAAAGAAATCTGTGGATATTGGTAAACTATTATTTCAAAAATTGACCTGAAATGAAATTCTCACTGATCTGCACCAGCAACATTCATTTGTACAGATATTTCAAGCATGAAAGGTATCATGCTGTACCATATAACTCTCAGAGATGAATAGCCTGTTAGGGAAAAAATAAAGAGGTGGCAACCTTACTTAAAGCATTAACATGACTGAATACACATTAATTCAAATCTCAGAGGAGACAGCCACTCAAAGCCTTAGTGCTGGGGGGGGGGCGGATTTCTGTTTCACTTTCTACCACATTCATTCTTGAATCTTAATGTTTGTATCCCTAATCTGAAAAAAAAAATCTGGATGGGAGCAGGGTAGTTTATCCTTTAAAACAAATGGAAAAGTAATGTTTACCTGTGCCTGATATAGACTGACAAGTGGTCATTGGATCCTGCCTTCAGAGTTAGAACCAAAGGCTGTGCTATAAAATAACCACAGAGAAACCTGGCTAAAACTTGTTCAATGCAGGCATGGCATTATCCATTTTGGCACCATGCCAGCTTTGCCTGGAAACCCATTTGAGATACGACATTATTGCTCAAGGCCCTGCTTTCATTCATTTTCATTCAGGATGACACTGTTGATTAATTATCTCTAACCTTTGATAACGGAATGGCAGTTGCTGAATTGTCATAATGCCTGCATGACATTCTGATTGTGTGACCTGCCGTTTTGCCAAACTGAACGTCATTAAATCAAAGATCCTTTGCATCAAGGCAGCTCTACCTGATGGCGTTGCTTCTGTGCAGCTTTTTGTTTGGGGGGGGGGGAGCATTTTAACACTTGGGATCATCATTCCCTCTGACATGGGGTTTGATTATTCAGACTGCTCTATTGCCATGTTATAACATCGCCTTGATTAAAAGGACAAAGAAAAAAGAGAATCAGAGAGCTTGGCAGAGAAAGCCAAAATATCTGCTCTTTTTCAGATCAATTATGATTAGTTGCTCTCTGTTCACATAGCAGCCCCAAGGCACAGAGACATTACACAGAGTTTATTCCATTAGAAAAGGAAGCCTTTTCTTAAAGCATTATCGTGATGATAGTTCAAGTCACACCAAATATGCTTGACCACAGATGTCTTACTTATATAACTGCCCTGTTGTTGCTGTTAGGACACATTTAAATTTTACACCAAAAGCCAGCATGCCGCAGTGTTTGAGCATTGCACTAGGACTCTGGAGTGCAGGGTTCAAATACTGTCTTGGCCATGTAAATGCACTGAGGCAAGTCATATTCTCTCAACCTCAGAGAATGGCAATGGCAAACTTCTACAGAAGAAATTTGCCAAGAAAAACCCATGATAGGGTTGCCTTAGGGTCACCATAAATCAGAAACAACTTGAAGGCACACAACAACAACAACAACAACAAGAACTAAGGGAAAAGCATTAAAAAACATGTGTCACACAAAGCAATGATAAGACATCCAGCTGCCAAATTGCAACTTACAAGAAATGTGCATCACTATAAAAATGGACCTCATTTCAGTGCTGTGGAAAATGGCCTGTTTCTGCTCTGACCAATTTGGAACCAATCTGCTTCAGTTTGAGTCTTGAACCAAGATTCAAAAACCCAAACAGACTGAAGCAGCAAGCTGTAATACAAACCATGACAGAGTATAGATAACTTCTGCATAGAGAGCTATATGAATGTGCTTCAGTTTTCAAAAGTTTCCAGACATGGCCCCTGGGCACTTCAAAAAAGCCAAGGGTACAGATCATGCATTCAAAACCTATGGAATATGTATGTAGATCTATGTACAGAAGGTATGACAAATGCATGCTCAATATATATAGAACTCAGAGACTGGGACCAAAAAGTACAATCCCATGCCATACATTGACAGGACTGAGATTGTGGGGAGAATAAAACTCAGTGCTTGAGCATATGCTGGGAGAATCTTCAAAAATTGCAGTTTTCAAAACTATTCACAGTTCAAGATGTATTGAATGCAAAATTCACATGCAAGTCACCCCTCCCCCCTGAATCGTCTGCACAAAACCCCTAGCATTGTATGGTTTTCTATAATATTTACTATGCAGAATATGCTGTTTCCTGCCAAAAAAAAAAAGTGTGAATTTTGCGCAGAATAAGTCTTAACCTGAGAACATTGTCATAAGCCCAGGGTTTTCCTTGTCAGGGTTTCCTATCATGCAGTAACATTTTAAAAACCCTTTTCCAAATATTTTCAGATATGCTTTCTGTACATAGCATATGTTTTACACAACAGTGGGTAAAGTGCAGCCCATATGTGGTCTCCCAGGGCCATTTTTGTGCCACCAAGGGGATAATTGTTTTAAGAATAAATTGTTCTCAAATGCTCTCAAATGTCCTCTAAGAAAGTGTAGGGCATTTCCACCACATTTGGAAGCTTCTACCCCCAGGTGTCAAATAAATATTTTGCAAACATTTTCAATTTTTTTTTAATTTTTTCCCCCACAAATGCCCTCTATTTAGGCCCAAGAGAGGCCTAGTTTTGAAACAGGAAATGACTTTCACTTGCTTCTTCTTGTTTAAAAAAGGTCTCAGTTGAAGTAGGTGTGGCCCTTCATGGTCTTCTACTCCCTACTCTCCCATGCTTCTTCATTCAGAAGATCTCAAATAGAGATGTGCACATCTATAAAGTCAACATCCATGAAAATGCACCCTTTTACACTTAAACATCTGGTCCACATTCAGTTCCACAAGGGTTGTTGGTGTTCTTCATGGAGTGAGATCTCTCCCTTTCTTTGATTATTTTTTGAACTTGACACATGTTTATATGCATCTTTTGAACTGTATGCATTCCTTGAATGAATTCTCACATTGACTAAAGAGTGCGTAATCAGTGTTTCACAGGTATTTGATATGTATGCATTTTTCTATGTGCACTTTTCAAAGGTATTTATGTGGGGGATATTGTAAGATATATGCTAACCTGCAGATTCCAGAATACAAGTTGCATTTGGTCCAATACCTGACACTCCAGGAAGAGTAAAGTGAGGCAAGCATATCAGAGCTTGGATTGAAATTGTGTTTCTTACACATCCTTCATTCCAATATCATTTCCTAACAACTATATTGAAAAGGATCAACTAGCAGATGGTGAGGAAGATGTCTGCTTAGTCAGATGCAGAGATGCAGTCAAATGATGGTCCTTCCCACTTGACTGGATCAGAGCTTAGAGAAGTTCCTTCTTGGACAACAACAGTTAACAACAAGTTAGCTATTGTAATGGTTTCACTTAAACCAGAGAACCTATGTATTATGCCAGATTTTGGCTGACTACTAAAAAAAAGTTGTGTTTTCACTTTAAAAGGTGTCATTGGAATAAATTCATATTTCACAAATTCATACTTTAAGCTTTTATAATGTGAAATTTGTTAAACTATTGGAAGTGAAAAGCATCTTTCAAGATAAGATTCACACACACTATGTGTTATAGTGCAAAGAACTGGCATCTATGAAAGGAAGTAATCCAATGGACAAGTTCAAACTCATCTAAAAGCAGACAGGAGAGGCAGTGTGGCATAGTGGTTTGAGTATAGAACTAGAACTCTAGTGATTAGGGTTTGATTCCCTGCTTGGCTATGGAAACCTGCTGGCTGACTGTGAGTGATTCACACCCTCTCAGCCCCAGAAAACCCCATAATAGTGTCACCTTAGGGTCACCATCAGTCCAAAACTACTTGAAGGCACACAACAACAACAACAACAACAACAACAACAGACAGATCTATACAGAATAAGGGGCGAGGAGGAGGGTGAGGAAAAGAAATCCCTGTGTACAAGAATACAGCAAGTGAAAGACAACATTTCTATTACTGGGCAGCATTAAAACTGTAATCATGACTAGCACTTCCTACATATCATATTCCTTTGTAAATCTCAGCCCCAGCCGTATGTACTGTATAAATACCTGAAATTCTCAATAATTCTTCATGCATCGGATGAAGTGGAGAATAGTATATAAAAGCTCAAGATATAATAAAATGTTTAATGTGCCACACAACACTTTGTTATTTTTATAGTACAGGACTATGAGGGTCAGAGTTCTTATGTAGCCGTTGTTTGTCAAGATTCCCACATCCATTAAATAAGCAGAGATTATGCACATTGCCTGGGAGCACCATTTTGTAGACAGTTGGGGGTCATAGTTTGCAACATCAGGAGCAGAAAACAAGGGAGTGAAAAAGGCTCAGTAAAAGTATCAGCTAAGTTGCTCAAAAGCAAAAGAATGAGGAAATTAAAAAGAAAGGAAAGCAAGGAGCTGCAGATGTGGAGTTCAAAGACACAAGGAATCCCAATATATAAAAGTGCTGCAAAATATTTACCAAAATATGCCCAATTTAAACCCACTGCATGACCTTGGGCAAATCACACATTCTTAGCCCCAGAAAGCCCTGTGATAGCTTTGCCTAGTGTTGCCATAAGTGGGAGAAGACTTGAAGGCACAGAACAAGAAGTATCATTCCATTATTTGTCAATATTTCATATGGCCAGCAACCATTCCTGAGGCCTCTCCCTCTGCTAGCTTTTCCTACCAGAGGGCTTCTACAGACGCGTGGCCATGGGCCGCCCCAAGAAGCCAAGTATTGGGGCCAAGGCTGCCCCACGCCTCAGCCCTAATCCACCCTTTCAGCGACTGGGAAAAGAGCGGCAAAATAGCGCTCCTTTCCTAAGCCGTGGAAAGGGAGCCGCAGGAGCCACCATGTGGCTCTTTTGTGCCTCTTCTGGTGCAGCATGTAAAAATGCTGTACCGGAAGGACGTCATCAGAGTGCTTGCCGGGTGCAATGACGGGCGCTCTGATGATGTCCTCGGGAAGGGGCTAGGGCATTTGGTGTCCGGTTGCCCCTCCCCTTCCCTGGCTCTGCAGACGGCACTTTGCACTATCTGCAGAGCCCCAAAGTCCTTCATGGACACTGGATTCTAAGCAGACCACATCATTCTCTTAGAAATATCCCCTTGCAGTGGTTTTTTTCTGATTCTTAAAGCCATTTAGATGAGACGTTAGATGAGGGAAAAGTCAGTTTAAACCTTACTTCCATCCTAAGGCAATGAATGAAAAGGAAAACATGTTTTACAAAGAGAGAGGAACCTCAGCATACTGATCAGGAGGGTTCCCACCCACTCCTTTTCTCCTTTTACTGCAATGGTAGCAAAAGGTCCCCATGCCTTCAGCAGCATGTGCTACTCCACTGATGAAGAGAAAGAAGAGACTAAGGGACTCTACAGACAGCCCCTAAGGGGTGGCTCCATGATGCCCTTGGGAGTGCCAGATCAGGACTGCGACAACTGCACAGTGCAGCCCAATCGGCATTTTAACACTCCAAAAAGAGCTGGCAAATGCTACTCCTCTTTGGAGCAGCAAAAAGCCACTCTTGCCACAGGAGCAGTGGCTTTTCTGAGCTCCTTTGACACAACATGTCTAAACACTGTGCAAGGGAGTGCCCTGATACTGCCTAACATCTGTTTGGGTGGGCAGCATGGGGACGACATGGAGGCGGAGTCAGGGCGGCCA